AACACTGCTACCTGTTTTACTTTCTCCCTTTCATCATTCAATGTCTCAGGAATAACTGATATGCCAATGCATGTAGTCATGGTCTAATGGAGGGCCAGCACTTAAGCAAATGACAGATGCTCTCTATTAACCCCTCTCCTTTCCCAGAAAGGGAGAGGAAAGAGAATAAGGGAGAGAGGGTTACAGGTTGGAAACTAAACTACACAGCTTTAATGAAACAGTAAAGATGGAAAGATAAATTAATGTAATTATTTTCATAAATAATGAATAATTATTTAAGTTTCACCACTAAGGCTGCAGGGCAGACCAGGGAAAGTCTTGGACTGGGCTTCTGGAATCAGTAGCAGATTGCAGCTGGATGCTGGAACGCATGAATTCAGGAACACATGGATTGGGTTCAAAGGCTGGGAAATGCACAGAGTCCTTTCAGGACACCAGTCATGGATGAAGCGATCTTGACCCTTGATCCCTCAGATTTATACCAAGTATGACACGTATAGGATGAGATACTTAATTTGGTCAGTTTTGATCATCTGTCTCGACAGCTCCTCTCCATAGGAGGTTTTGTAAGTGTGACCCCTTCCTCCCCATTTTTTTTCCAGAGCACAAGCAGTGGCCTTGCTTCTGCATACTGTTCTCCAGCAGTAACTATAAACATTGAATATTATCAGTCCTAGAAGTAGACACTGACTGGAGAACATACTGTCAATTTCAGCAAGTGCAGTTACTTATAAGGGACTTAACTAAAAAGTAAAATTACTAGACAGAAAATTGGTTCTGTCCTGGCTCAAACCAGGACACAGGTAAACCTTTATAAACAAAGCACTATTGTTGCCTTGTTTAAATACTATTACTTTGCTGTTTTCAAAGTATCTAGCTTTTGTGCTTGTGGAGGATGCATAGTTCTGCAGAACAATTAGTTTAAAAATGTAGACAGTGTCGATGCAGTATAACATCCCAAAATATTCTTTTACTTTTTTTTTTTTTTCTTTTTCAATTGAATTTTTTTTTATAAATTGCAAAGAACAAGCCAAGATGAAAACATTGATCTTTTTTCCTAAGGTAAATATCTTCAAGCATTCTGTTGAACAGCTAAGACATCATAATAAAATGTAGTAAATTTTCACCACTAATTATTTTAGTCAAATAGGAAAACCACTTTAACAATAAACTTATCAACTATCAGGTGGTCTTTAAAGGACGGTAATATAATGTTTCCATAAAAAACAGTTTACATTACTCTGCAAAGAAAGAATACCTAATGGCATCTAATAAAGTTAATTCAGTAACATTTCTTTGCTTATTTAAATATGTAGGTTATAAGTATTAAGCTTAATAAAAAGTATATAATAACTTGGGGTTCTTGTTTTGTGTTTTTTTAAATTATATTCATTATTGTTTTTCAACATATTTGAAGGCCATATGGATAGTACCTTTGTAATTACGTAGTCTTATAGCACCAATACTGTGTATTTCTAAATACCTTTGCTCTTTTGGTCAATATTTCTTTAAAGTATCAGCTTTAATCTCTTTCTTTATGTCCATTTATTAAAATATCCTTTAATATCAACAATATTTTTTTTTTCAAATAATTGCAAATTATTGTTTTAAATATGTCTTCCAGTCCTTTGTAAGTCATTCTGACATATTTAATTCCTCAAAAGAGTCTTTAAACTTAAAAAAAAACTATACAGTAATTAAACTTAATGACCTTTCTCATTTACAGCTTTTGTGACATGTGCTTAGGATATGTTTGATAAGGAAATTGCTCAACTATTATTAGAAAATTAATTTCCCCTTTTAAACCAGTAATGTTGACGCCAAGATTACTTTGGATCTTGGTAGTCTGTTAACGAACTTTCTCTACTGAATAAAAACTAAGACAATATTCCCATAAAATATGGAATTAGAAACCACAGAGACCCACAAATTGTCATACATAAAAGTTTGTGTGTATACATACCTATACACACACTCTTAAAAGCATTTCTTGCTATTTACTAAAAAGAAAAAAGGAAGTACAGAGTTTATTGAAGCATAAGGAATACAGAAAGAAAAGGTTTGTGGAGTATCTTCCAACCTTAAAAAGTGGTGGTTTTTTTTGGTTTTGGTTTTGTGTTGGTTTTGGGTTTTTTTTATTTTTTTTTATGTTATTACAGAGCTATTTGAAAAATCTGACCAAACAGAAAATCTGTACAGTGTTTTCAGTATCTTCTGCCTTTTTCCAAAAAGGTTGAATGTCTGTTCTATGCACCATTTAGAGGTATAATAAAACAACCTTATTGTCACTACAGAAACCCTTTAATAACATAAATATGATTATCTTTTGAGTTAGCACTCAATGTTAGTAACAATTTAAGTACCAAGCAGGTAACCGGTAAAAGGAATTTTGATTTTTTCTGAGGAAGCCATATCATCACTGTGTTATAATTAACACTTTTACAAGTAAGGGTGTTATTTAACATTTTTAAGACATCAAGAAGCCAAATAACCAGTGCTATTCTATACAGCTAAAAATCATAAGTGGTGTGATATTACAGCAGTGTAATATGGTTGTAGTACACTCAAGAGTATAAACTTTTCCAGGTTCTGTACCTCCTCAGAATATAACAATGAAGATGGAAGCAAGAGAGAAGCTAAAGGTTGCCATTTGGAGCCCCTCTAAATATAAACACACGGAAATGCTATGTTTCTAAACTATGCCTTCAGCAGTGCTGAGCCCAATCCACCAGCTGTGAGTAGAAGTGAGAGGCCCTAGCAGAGCTGGAGGCCTTCCACCTGAACTGTCCACCTTCTTTCTACTTTGCTGGCCTCACTCTGCTCCCTAGAAGGGTGGTTCTTAGCTGAGCACACTCTTGCTCAAGAGAGATAATTTTCCTTCTTTTCAGATGACATGCACATTCTGAAACTAGCCAAAAGTCTAAAGAACCTGAAGATGTCTCAGCTTCAAACGGCAGCTCCAGGCTGCTCTGTGAAGAGTCTGAATGCATGCCTGTGTCAGTATTTTCAAAAAGAGCTTGAACAACTGAAAGGGGTCAGAGAAGAGCAATAAAAGTTGTTCAAAGTCTGTTTGATTTTGATTAAAGGTGAATGGAAAGTCATTTGGTTGCATTGCAACATGTACTAAAGTGATCTTGAACATTGCAATCAGAGGGGGGAAAAAAGACAGAAATAATTGTATTAATAGAAATAGAAATAATAATAAAATAAGATTAAGCTGGCTGACTTCAAGTTTGATCTAAAAACTCTACAGTGAAGATGATTAATCACAGGAAGAACAACCTGAATATGGAAGTTAGATTCAAATATTTTTTGAAACTTTTTTTTTTTCAAAGTCAAATGTCACCAAACTGGACATGTCCCTGTGATTTTGATGAAAAGGGGACTTAGTATATATACAATTTGTCAGTCATGTGCTTTCTCAGTGCTGTTTGATCATAATATATCTGATGTTGGGTATTTAGAGTTCCTTCTTATTGTCCTTAGGAATTGCACACAAGTATTTGAGTATTGCATTCAGAGCCCTTAATCCTTCTACTCCAAGAAGGGATGAAAGTCATTATATGGACAGCAAGTGACCTCTTCTAAAGATACAGTAAAGCACATGGGTGAGATGGCAAAAGGATGACTGCTGCAGAACTGTCAGCTAACTAACTCCCTGCTAATTCCATTTTGGTTTTGCTTTCAATGTAATTATTCTAATCTACACATGATTCCCTTGCTATTCTGTTTGATTTAAGAGAAGCAATCGTAACTGAATCTCTGATAGGAAAAAATAACAAAACGTAACTTCTAGGTGTTCTGAACACGTTCATGACTAACTCATGGAAAAGGTAGTGATTAAAAACTACTTGGTTCATTTATATACTTGTTTTTAATTGAGCAGGAAATTTGAAGGGGTTTTGCATTAATTTTTTTAGGTATATTACTTTCAGCTTTAAAGGGAAATGAATTAATAAAGACTTGATTCTCAATCTACGTGCAATTAAAGTCCGTGGGACGACAGGCTTGGAATATAAGGAAATAAAGAGAAAAGGAACCCAGAAAAGCCTTCCTAATAACTGTCATGCTTTTCCAAGTTATTATTTATAACTTATATGAAATTGTAGCTGTCAAGCTAACAATTTTACAAGATATTGAATATTATTTAATACTCTGCAAAAAATAGCTGTAGCAATCAGCATGCAATACCTTCTGTAATGATAAAAAAGGCAATTACATAAACCATGTCATTCACTGAGTTTCAAAACCAGAACAGCTGCATGTTGCTAAAGGTGATACAAACTACAACAGTGTAGAATTAAAGTATACAATAAAAATCCTGTAATGACTGTGCCTTGTTTTACAGACAACACAGCTGGGATTGAAACCAGGAGAAACGGTTACAGCAGAAGGCAGCAAGAGCTCTACTTTCTTCCAGTAGTAATAGAAGACAGCAGTTACCCTGTCCAGAGCAGCACAAACACAGTGACTATCCGTGTTTGCAGATGTGATTCTGATGGCACCATCCTGTCCTGCAACGTGGAAGCAATCTTCCTACCAGTAGGCCTCAGTACAGGAGCACTGATTGCAATCTTGTTGTGCATTGTAATACTGCTAGGTTAGTTCTCATTAAAACACTTGAAGTGCATTTGTCTGATTATTCACCTGTGGATTAATTTGTGTTGCTATTAGCTTAATCTGTTGTTTAACAAAAGCCATTAAAAATATGTAGCAGTTTATGAGAACTTCCAGAAATCCTTCTGCATTTTTGGAAAAGCATCCCAAAGCATTGGCCATGACCATCAATCTGCCAACGCCTACACATTTCTCATTTCATTAAGAGAACCAGCTTTCAGTGGAATTCAAACTACAGTTTTTTTCTCTGAAACAGTTTTGTTTAAATACTTTTCTTGAAGAATTAATATTTTTAAATTATTGCTAAGGTCGACAAGTCCTACTGAGAGTAACATGAGTAAGGACTTAGTAAGGGCCTATATTTTATTTCTCATGCCAACTTGAGCAAAAGGAGAACAAAGAAATGAGAGGGGAGAAAATAATAGTAATGTGGACTGTGGCTGGTCAGATCCATGCAAAACTTTATAGAAAGACTTTAATTTCAGGTAGGTGTGGATTCCGTAATGTGGCATCATCATTTGATCTACAGTATATTTAAATATTGCCTTATTTACAGCATGCCCAAAGCAGTCGATTCTCATATCCATACTACTTATTATATAGCCTTCATGAACTGTTAACAAAATAAAATAAACTTTGTAGTTTACACAAGCACAATGTGGGCTGCAGAAAACAGGCTGATTCTTACAGAAGCTACTCTATCTCTTCTTGATACTAGTGAGCTTCTTTGATCTCACTCTCTTCCTTATGTAGGAATAATGCATAGGCAAAAATAGCTGTAGACACAGAATGTGACATGTGGATATCTCTTTGCATATGGATAATACGGTATTTACCACTTAAGTAAATTAGCAAAGGCTCAGGGTTATATAAATAGCTTCTTGGTAGCAGTGGGTAAAAGTCAGAATTTCTGTTTTGTGTAAAAAAATTTTGTTGTGAGAAAAATATTGCAAATGAGAATGACAAACAGTCACACTTCCCATAGAGTAGGAATTAGTAACAAATACACCCATTCCAAACAGCCTGTAAAAAACTCAACAAACAAAACCAAAACCATAAAACAAAAAAACACAAACAAGCAATATTAAAACCAATAAAAACAACCCAACACTAGGATAGTTTTTTGGAAGAAAGATTAATGCTGTCTGTTTTGCCACAGCTCCTTAGGACTACTTTTTTACTTTTAGGGTTTTCCTAGATAAAAGGAGCTGGGGGTGAGCCACAGCATCAAATAAAATCCATTATGAAAAAAAAAAAAAGACAACACCAACTTACTTTCACATGAAGGGATGTCAATTAGAGCTTTGTCTTAAGTCAGGAATCCCAGGATATCTGAGCTCTCTGTTCCAGAGCAGTTACACTCTGTTGCAGTCCCTAGGGGTCTTAAACACATTTCTGTAGCAAAGCCTTTCAAGTTTCTACCTTTGTGTCCAGAAATCTGGACAGTATGAACTATGTGACAGATAGCCTGGTGCTTTTACCAGACATCATTTACAACAGCAGAGTATCTGGGGAAGCAGTAATATCACAGGGTTGGATTTCCCAAGAATTTGCTAGATGGTAATTGAAACCCTCAACAGAACTTTGTATTTATTTCTCTACTGGCTTGTTGAAATAAATAATTTTTATTTTAAAATAAAAAAATAATTATATCAAAGAACTCCTTACCAGATCTTGTGCTGATTGATGCTCTTGGCATATACAAAACTAATGAAGATATTTTAATTCCTGCTTTGCATAGAACACCAGACTGAATTACTGAATTCCTGAGATTTTATTTGGAAAAGTGGTTTTGGTCATTTAATAATTCCCTGAACTCCAATCAGCCTAGAAATAATACCCAGAAAAACTAATACATAAAGAATGAGATCTCCAGTGCTATGTGTAACCTAAGAGAATGGCATTTATTTTATATATAGACTCTCCTTACTATTCTATTGATCAATTTAAAAACTGCTTTTGGATTTTCATTCTTTGCTGTGTACCTTGTCTGACACATGGTCATTAAAACTGTAGTTGAAGTTGTTCTAATTTCTACTAGAAAAGATAAGCAACATATTACCCAAATTGGGAGTTATTTTAGGCCACACAAGTCTGACCATTAATTTATAATCATTACAATTCCTGTATTTATTATGGTGTTACTTCAACAACAGTACTTAGAACACTGTCATTTCTACCAAAGGCAGTTAGTGAATTAAAAACAGAAAAAATGCCAGTTTATTACAAGTAGATTTTGCAACCAATGAAATGTATCTTCAAAGACAAACTATTGATTGCTATTGAGTTGCCATTTGGAATAAAACCCATTTGCATCATTTTTTATTATATAGAATAACAAAATCACAGCTGGAAGGCAACTCTGAAGATCACCTAGTCTAACTGACCCTGCTGTAAGTTAGAGCAGGTTACTTAGGGAAAAATCCACTTGTGTTTTTAATATCTCTGAGGATGAATACACCACAACTTCTCTGGTCAACATGATCCAATGCTTGACCATTCTGACAGTAAAGAAGGTATTTTCTGCATTCCAATTTGTGTCCATTTCCTCTTGTCCTGTCACTGGGCATCACTGCAAAAATTCTAGCTCCATCTTCTTCCATCCAGTAGGTATTTATACACATTGATAAGATTGCCCTGAGACTTGACTTGTCCAGGCTGAACAGTCCCAATTCTCTCAGCCTCTCCTTATTTGGCAGATGATCTAATCCCTTAATCAGCTCTGTTACTCTGCACTGGACTTACTCCAGGAGGTCCATGTCTGTCTTGTATCCAGGAGCCCAGAACCAGGCCCAGAACTCCCAAGCGCATCAGCAGTCATTTCCTTCAACAAACATGTTTTCAGCCCATCAGCTCCTATGTCCCTGTGTGCATCCAGTTTGTTAAGGTGTTGCCTAACCTGAACCTCTTTCACTAATGATAAGTCTTTCCCTGTGGTCTCAGGGATCTGAAGGAGAGCTTTACCAATGAAGACAGAGGCAAAGAAGCCATTTAGTAGGTTGGCTTTTTCTGTGTCCTTTTTGAAAAGGTTTCCTGCTCCATTCAGCAGTGGGCCCATATTTTTCCTACTTTTTCTTTTGCTGCTGTTGTACTTGTTCAAGCCCTTCTTGTTGCTATTCATGTCCTTCATGAGATTCAACAACAGATGAGCTTTGACTTTCTTAACCACATCCTTGCATGTTCAGTCAGTGTATACTCCTCCTGGCTCACCTGTCTCTGTTTTCACCTCTCATATGCATCTTTTTTTATGTGTGAGCTTACTCAGAAGCTCCTTATTTGTTCATGCAGGCCCCCTGCTGCCTTTGCTTATTTCCTGCTAATCAGGACCACAGTTGACCTTGGAGGAGGTAATACTTGAAAATCCACCAGCTCTCCTGGACACCTTTTCTCTCTAAAACCATATAACATGCGATTTTATTTTTTTTAAAAGCAGATCCCTGGTGAGGCCTAAGTGTGCTGTATAAAACAATGAAGAAAGATTTTTTTATATTTTTTTTTTCTCTGATATTGTGGGTTTTTTTCCTCTGCCATGTGGAATTTTTGGAATTTTTCTTTACTTTGCTATGGAAGACATATTAAAAAAAAACCAAAACAAACAAAACATCTCTCTGTCTCCCTGAACTAAAAAGCTGCAGTCCTGTCTGTTTGTAAAGCAGGACAGCAGGAAAATTATTTGTCACTTCCTTCAGCAGCACAACAAGCACTGAAGAGCTAGACTCATACATCGAAGAAAAAAATATTTTTTCATTGGCTAGAGCAATGCTATTTTAAAAAGAATAGTAGGAGCACATCTTCTATGAAAAAAAAAAAAAGTCCCTTTGATTGCTTGCAACTTTCAAAGGAAGATATAATGATACATCATTAGACTAGCAAATTATTTCTGTGCATGACTTAAATTCATTTTTTTCTCATTACAGTCATTGTGGTACTGTATGTAGCACTACGGAGGCAGAAGAAAAAGGACACCCTGATGACCTCTAAAGAAGACATCAGAGATAATGTTATCCATTATGATGATGAAGGAGGTGGAGAAGAGGACACCCAGGCTTTTGACATAGGAGCCCTGAGGAATCCCAAGGTGATTGAAGATAACAAAATGCGTAGGGACATAAAACCAGAAACCTTGCGTTTTCCACGTCAGAGACCACCAGTAGAAGACAACACAGACATAAGAGATTTCATTAACCAAAGGTTGCAGGAAAATGATGTAGATCCAACTGCCCCCCCTTATGACTCCTTGGCAACCTACGCTTATGAAGGAAATGGATCTGTGGCAGAGTCTCTGAGCTCTATAGACTCCATAACTACAGAGGCAGACCAGGATTATGACTATCTGAGTGACTGGGGACCTCGCTTTAAGATCTTGGCAGACATGTTTGGAGAAGAAGAAAGTTATAACCCTGACAAAGTCACTTAAGTAAAACTGCAACAGTGAAATAAAACAAAAAGTAAATCAACAACAAATTTAAAAGATAAACCTAAGCTTTATAATAAGACAGGATTCCTTTGATTATAAAAGACTGCAATGGTTTCCAGCAATTTACTACATTTATCATACTGTCAGTTTTGTTTTGACCTGCGAAGGAAAGATAAATCCTGTAATATACACAGTTTTTTGTTGTTGTTATTTTGTTACTCTGGAATTACACTGAGACAAACTCAGGCCTACAAGGTACAGTTTACTGACCTGACTTAGAAAGAAGATAGTTTTCTGGCATCATGGTGGAAGAGTGGTAGCTTTTTCGTAATTCCACTAAAGTGCCTATTGAAACTTTTATCATTTAAGTGGTAAAGAGTCTGCTGTGATGGTGTTACAAAACTGGATAGTAAATTGGACAAGAACTTCAAGATAAGAAGCAATAGCAACATGCTGACTTCTTTTAGAACAAGAATGGAGATTACTTCCAGGAGTATATCTAATGACTAAAACTAAGGGAGGGTGTACATTGTGTTCGGGGGCTATGTTTGGTTTTTTTAAAAGAAGAAAACAGTATGTCAAGACTTCATATTTCTTCTTCCAAAATTTCACTGAAAATTTAAATTGAAAATGCTACTTACTGCTCACTCTTAAGATGTAAAACCCAAACTTAAAACAAAAAGTTCTAAGCATACATCAAATGATTTAAAATGTTTGTGCAGGTATTGCATTTTTTCAAAATAATAAAAAGATGAAAGCAGCTGTTCCTTTATGTGAAGGAAATTTCACTTGAGTCCCCCTTTTCTTTTAAAATGAGACCATTACAACAACATAAAGTGGAGAGTGTTTTTTTCTTAAGTATTATTGAATTTTAATATCAAGACAAAGACATTTATTTCCCTTGTAAATGTCACTAAAAAGTCTATGTAAAGAACTTCATATCAATTTTCTTTGCAATTAGTTTTCTACTTTCTAAGTACTACAGCCACATATATTACAGTTATATTTCATCTGCTGCAGTTCAGCATATATTTCACTGCCAGACCCACATCAAATATTTTAGAAAACCTTCATAATTTTAACCTGAATAATTTTTCTCTTGTCAAAATATTAACAGACTCAGAACAAAACAATAAAACAGTATGTTTGTCCACACTTTATATACATACCCATGCATGCATGTAGCTGTGCAAGTAACTGAAGTACAGATATATGCAAAATGTTATGCCATGGGAGATCTCTCATGAAACTATTTCATCTGACTTCTTCTGATTATTTAAGGCATAGGCATTTTGTAAGACAATGGTTTATGGCCCCCAAAGCGCATATATCTTTATATTACCCTTCCAAAATCTGCAGTGCTATGCAATCTGCTTTGGTTCTACTCGTGATAAATGACACTGGCAAGGTCATATTTTTCATTAATCAGAAAGAAGCCTTTTATTCTCCTCAGGTCTACTGCTTAGTTTTTGTACCACTGAAGAATTAATAACTATCAGGTATAGTTAGCTCACAAGTCTGATATTAACATACACAAAGTTCCCTTTACTCTCTTGGGAATATGTAAAGGTATGTAAAAGTTGTACACATTAATCCCCAATGAGACTTTAAAAGGTGTGCAGTTGAAATAAGTTTTGGATGATTTGGTACAACTGGACAGGGTTACATTAGAAGCATGATTGGCATGGCTGCTACCAGCAGAGTGCTGCGGAAGAAACACAGCATATGGCAACAAGAAAGGTTTGTGTGTTTTTTCATTATCAGCAAAGGTATTCTCTGTTCCCTGAAAGACAAACTAAACCAACAAAAGTTCTTTTCTCACAGGACAAGGAAGCAAATGGAGTGGTGAGACCCATTTGACAGCATAGCAATTTTTGTGTGGAAGGTAATGTTAATTTTCCCACATCTTGGCACCCTAGCAAAGGCAACTTTATATTGCAGAGTGGGTCTAAAACAGCTCTTAATTTAAAAGTATTTGATACTATTTACAACACAGATTGATTCATACAAAATTTGCACTTGTGGGGTACTTAACAATGCTTCCTCATGTAGCATATGTTTTCTACCCTGCTGCCACAGCTAAAATAAGCATCTTATACATTTACAGATGTGCAATCTTGTAGCCAAACTCTGCTCTTGGTAATTCTATTACTCCTTTACATGTATTTCACTAGTAAAGTCAACATAAGTGAAGTGAGAGCAGTGTTTGATTTTTTAACATCACATTGGAATTCTTGCTTCTGGCAAAATTGTATTTGTCGTGGATACTGGGTGAATGTTAGGTTTCTTGAATAGGTTGGCATTTTCTCTATGCAGGACAGTCTGCGTAGATGTCTTGCCTCACTTCTGAAATGGGTAGACACAAAATGTGGTTTTAAACATGCTGCTACACATAATGCATATTTGAGAGTAAGTAGTTTTATGTTAAATTAATACCAAATTGAATATCAAATGCATATTTTTTACATTTAAGAAGTTTGTAACAGAGATGTTTCTATCACATAATCAATAAACCTCCAGAAAGATTTAAAAAATAAGTTGGTATGTAATGACTTATGCAATTGTCTTATAAAACTATAATTAATATTTTTTAAGAACTGTTTTTTTAAAGAGTGATCAAACAGTTTAAACTTAGCAGGGGTAATTTTTATAAACAGCGTTTGACTCAGGTCAGAAAACAATGCTCTCCATCCCCTCCCCCTCCCACCCAGGTAGGGAAGGAGAGAGAGAAAAAGAGAGAGACTTGGCTGGATTGAAAACTAAACTACACAGCTTGAATTAAACACTAATGATAAAAGGAAATATATACAATTATATACAAATATGTTCAGGTATGAGCAAAAGCCTCTAGACTCCCCCCATCCCCAGCAACTCCCACAGCACTCCCCTGAGCAGGGAACAGTCCCGAGGAATCCTGGAGCTGGTGCTGGAGAAAGCACAGAGTGATGAGGGTCAAGAGAGCTCGAGCGTAAGGGTCAACGGTGATGGATGGACAGAGTCCTCCCTGGACGCCGGCCATGGATGGAAGAGAAGGGAAGAAGAAGCAGGAAGGAAGTTGTCTTCTGTGATCTCTGACCTTCCCCTGACCTTACGTAGACATATGGAATGGAATATCTCTTGCCAATTTCGCTGCCTGTCTAACTCGGCCTCCTACGGGGGTGTGGGGTCATAGATCTCCCTGTAGTGTCTGAACCAGCAGAGTGAAGGTGCAACCTTGAAGCCCCAGCAGTTAGAAAAACATTCTAGTGTCTTATCGGCTCTAGCTAGAACAGAGTGTTGCTAGTTAAAAGAAAGCTTACTGAAGGAAAAAAAAAGTCAGTAAAAGGAAAATTGGCTTCATATTGGCTCAAACCAGGAAAACTTACCAGGGGTAATTTTTGTAATCAAGTTTATAAAACGAAAGAAAAATATTACTTTTAATTATGTGTAACCTTGGACCCAGGAATTTTGTTTTTTACTCCATGTTCTCTCACTGGCTTTCTGAAAGACCCTCGTCAAGTTTTTAACACCTTATTTTTAAAAAGTTCATTAGACAAACAGGAAATTTACAAGGTTTAAAACATGTCAAGGCATCTCGGATGACATGAAGACAACAGGATTAGGGAGCCTCAGTGCATTTGTAAATTGTATCATATAACTACAGAAATTTTTAAGCACTATGTCTACAAACACTTGCACAATCAAGATGTTAAAATGGATGTCTTTTTCTCCCAACTGTGGAAAGATCCATAAACCTGCTAAGTGAATGCTTAAAACCACAGAAGGTATAGAATTGAGAGAAATACTTTTGTTGACATTTCCAAAAGTAAGATACTGATGCACAAACATCTAGCATAATCTTAAATGTCTTAACAGTGCCCCCTCTGTATATCACAAAACATTCTGTAAAATGCCCTCTGCACATGAAGGCATTGAGAAAATTCACTGGTATAAATAAATGCATGTTTTAAGTTAAATAGTTATAACATGTACTAGAGGAGCTGAAATAAAACTCTAAATATAAAGTATTCAGGTAAGAACGGAAGTATCTACAGAAATCTAGCTGATAAGCTTATATGTGGACATAGAGAACTGAAGGCCAGTTTTTAACAGAACATTTAAAAGAAATTTCAGGGAAGAAGGAAAAAGTGTTCCCTGCCCTCCCAAGAAAGGTGAAAATGCTACCACTTAGCAAGAATTTGGAAAGTAATGACAGTAGCTGATGACTCTTGCATGAAGATATGTTTGAATATTTTATATTTTATAATTTTTACTTATTTTTTTAAAATTGCTCTAAATTTTTGCTGTTCTAAATAAAGCCACAGGATTTACTGTAGATAATGGAAGCAGAGTTCATTATGGAGCAAAGACCAATAGATGACTCAACAGATTACTGATGATATTATTCTAGAGACTACCTGGAAAATATTCTTGCCTTAAGAATAACATGTGCATATCCACATAAACACAACCTATCCTTCACATAAATAAAAAATGCAGTTCTGCAGATGCTATATTAATTTTAGATTTACCTCCATTATTGTTCTGAAAGACTTCAGGAGACTGTGCTGCTATGAAATAACCAATCTAATAATGCACTGTATTATAGGCATTTCATATTACACTAATTACACATTTTAACTTGCTGGGATTTTTTTATAAATTCTTTGCAGTTATTTGATTAGTTTTATTACTATTATTAGCACAAACATTCCAATCTTCTGTGTATAGAAATATTTTTAGCTTTACAAACCTTCATGAAAACAAATAATTATATGACTTCTAATAATAACCTTATTGAGGTGACATTTAAGTGTGAGTGAAAATCAATATATATATATTACACCCCTGTACCACCTTCTCTTAATGGCAAATCTATAATAACCTCATTCCTTTTTTACTTCTTACTTAAATGAAGAACTTGGTCAGTTGTCAGAACACAAAAAAAAACAGTTGCTACTTTGAGCAAAACTAAGGTCAATTCCTGTTTGTGTTTTGTTTGTTTGTTTGTTTGTTTTGTTGTTGTTGTTTTTTTTTCTT